GAAGCAGAGAGGAGCGTGGACAGGGGGGAAGGCGCTGTCACCCATTCACACTTCACAKGCCATGTCCAGAACATGTGGGAAGGGAAAGATGTCTCCCACCGAGCCCCAAGGGTGGGTGCTCAGCAGCTTCTTCTGCCACTTATGTTGTAGGGATGACCAACAACCCAGGAGACCTGGCCACCCAAAGCACCGTGTTGGATGGGTGGGGGGTAACACACAGAGCACCAGACAGGGCGCCAAGACCGTGGGCTCTTGCTCCCAGCTCTGCTCAGCCCCACATAGCGCCCAGAGACACCTCCTTCTCTCCTGGCCTCGCCATCCTGTTCTCCTGAAACGCACACTGGCAACCAGTAACGTGGAAGTTTGATTCCCAAGTGTGGTCACGGAGACTTSTTTCTTCTCTTTCCTGCAAGTGAACCAAGAGATCCTAGAAAGAGATAGGAGTTGGATTTCATTGCTCTGATGCCAAGAATCTTGTTGAAGCCTTATCTGGATCACGGCTTGCTGTACGATAAGCCGAAAGGAGATGATGCATTTCAAATACTTTAACTTAATATTAAATATTGTACCTCCGTAACACTCATCATATTGCATTTCAAAAGGCTTGTACCAGAAGTCTCATTAGCAAAACCATTAAAACAAGCACACAGCTGGTAGAGAGCATTCACTGCGCAGAAGTCAGATTCTTCTAAATTTATAGTGGCAAAATTGATTACTGTTTCTCACATCTGTTGTAAATTTTGCATCTAAATTCTCCTTAAAACATCACTTAGCTCAGACACATCAAACCAGGCTCTACGAAGCAGCACCCCTCCCCCTGGAGCCACATAAATCACATCCATGCAAACCAAATGTGATCTTTTCATAAAAACATTCATTACTGTCATATATCCTATAATAAGCAGTAACGCCTGGGATGCAACTCCACGTATCTACAGTGTGTTTGCAGCCGCACAGAAGCCAGGGGTAACTTTGAAGGAAGGAGCTGTTGGAGGAAGGGGAAGGGAAGAGACCCCCAAGCCATGGACCCCAGATGCAAGCCAGAACTGCAAGTTGGCATCTCCACCATCCAGAGATGTGAATGAAGCTGCCTGTGAGCAGGGTCACAAATGCAGAACTGGAAGACAGCAACACAAGCCTTTTTTTTTTGGATAGTATTCCATGTCTTTCTCCGGACAAACCTCTTCAGGCAAAACCCTACCACCTTCAGGCAAGAAGCTCATACCCCCAGGCTGCAACACCTATAGACACACATAGCRCTGTTGGAAATGGGGTATCTTAGGAGAAGCACAGCTAAAAGACTTCTACTTCATCTTTTTTAATAGAGRGGGGGGAAAAAAGAAAAGGAAAAAGCACATTTGCCACGTCTCACCCACAGCGCCATGGCCCTGTTTCTCACTGAAAACTTAATTCCCCTGAAGTAGGGAAAAAAACACAATTAAAAAAAAAAAAGCTAAAGCTAAAGAACAACAGCAAAAAAAGAAAGAAAAAAGGATAAGGCTTTATCAGAGATCTAAAGCAAAAGTGAATCACACACAGACAAGTTGCTAGCTGAACTCCAGAAGGCTCCTGTAAGCTCTTCCTCGCCTTTTTTGTGACCCTCTCRCAAGGACAGGCAGGACAAGGCTCTGCTTCATCATCAGTTCTTGCAGTGCCATAACATTTATTAACCTAAAGGGTTTTTCTCCTCCCCCTGCTTGCTTTGTGGGTGGTTCCAATCTGTTTAAGAGGACATTGGCACCTGTCCTCAGAAAGGTAAAGTGGTTCAGCAAAGCCTGCTCGCCTGGCAGCACAGCAAGTCTTTGGAGGCACATAGAGAATAGGGAGCAGATCGAACAGGATTTATCATGATTAAGTCCAGAAGATACAGAAGGATGAGGTGACACCACGGCAAGGTGAAAGAGTGCTCTTCAGAAGGCACGGGAGAGCAAGAAGGATCATGTCCCCAACACGCCTGCAGCCACCAAGCCCATGAACTTCCAAGGGCGAACAACCACTTGCTTCAAAGAGCTGCCTTCTCAACAGGGGTGGGGGATGAGACCTCCCTCCCTTCCAAAAAAAACTCCCCAAAACAGCCCCCCATCAGTGAGCCCAGGGGTGTTGAAATATAACGTTCAGGCACAATTGGGGTATGGTCTGCTGGGATCTGCCTCATCATCTTTTCTTCACAGTTGAGACCACTGGAGTACACATTTCTCACCTTTTTGGTGAAAATAGGATTTTTCATCCTCAGTACTTCCTCCTAGAGCTAACCCATCAGCGAAGCCACCCCTCAAACTGCTCTGATGATTTACAGACTGCCAGAGGATGAGACCAGCAGACTATTCAGACAAGACGTTTGGAAAGGGCACATTCTAGACTGCACGTGTTAGCAGTTTTCCTCCTCCTTCCACTTTGCCTTGGAGGGCTGAAGACATGATGAGAAACAACTGAAGCCCTCTGGAAGTCCACCTGCTACTTGACATCAAGTTCTCTCTCAAGAAGCCTTGCTCAGCATTGAGAATTTGACATAAGTTCAYCTCAATGAGGATAAAACTTACTCCAAGTAGGAAGGGGTGACAAGGGGGCCTCTTTCTGCTTGCTCCAGAAAGAAATATCACAAAGGACTTTTTTTTTCCCCCCTGAACTTTTTTTGAAGCTGCTGCAGTGACTAATCACCAGTCGCTACATAATGCTGTGAAAACACACAGGGAACAATTCCTTATTACATTTATTCCTTTATTTATTAAAGGCTCAAGAGCTTCACCCAGAGCTTCAGTTAAAATGAGTGAGAGGGAGGGAGACCAAGGAGGACAAGAGCCCCCCATCCATCTTCACCCCTCCATATGCGAGGCCAGAGCCCTCTTCTTTTCCTCTCACCCACCCATTTAAATTATCAGCATTTTGCAGCAGGAACAGCCTATAATGACACATCTCCACAGCACCAGGAGCAGCAGAGCCCCAGGGGCTGCCAGGCTCTTTACATGCACACATGTACATGCTGGAGCCCGGGAACAGCACTTACCAGCACCACAAAGGCGAGCACAGTAAGGTACAACTTGTATCTGCAGAAACTCTCCTCTCCCATTTATTTCCTTTTTTGAATGTGCCCAAAAAATCAAACCCATCAGTGATTCTTATTAGCAGTGACTCATATCAGCCACAACGCCAGCTTGTCTCCAGAGAACCGAATAAACCAGGACAACTTGTCAGCTGGTGTAAAAAAGTATGAGCCTCGTGTTTTGTTACCAGATATATAGCATCATTTTCCCAACACAATGCATCAGCACTTCCCCATCTATTTGGGAATATGAACTGTATTTCTCGAGAATCTCAGAAGATGCATTAGCTTTCACCACCTTTCATTCATCACCGTCCTGTGAAGCGGTGCTTAACATCCCCCATGAATACCAAGCACCGCACCACACAGAAAGCTACTTGTGCTTCAAAGCAGAGCAATATAATTTTTAGGGGCCCTCTACGACCAGGCTCACATGTGACATTAGAAGAAAACGGTAACAAGCAGCAGCTTCCCATTGACTTCTCATTGTGCCCCACAGTTGGTGGCCCTGCTCACCAGCAGGGCAGGACACTGGCACRATTACTGGCTGGAGCAGCTACTAATTAGCTCGTGATACCGGGTATCTCAAGGGCCTTCAAAGAGCWGATGCCTGTAGGGGAAATTGCACCTGCTGCCTGAACAACTTCTTCACCTTGACCAGAGTATTTTTAGCTGTATGGACAGACCTGCCAATACATTCACCTTCAATCCTTTGCAAGGAAAATTCTGACAACACACAGCAGTAAGTGAACCTCCTATCTATGCAGGGTCAAGACAGCCAGAAGGAGAGAAATGATGAGCAAAGGCAAGTTCCCAAAACACTTCTTAAACATTCGTGTTTCATTTGAGCTTCCCTTTGTTCCACACCCTCCTCCGTTCCCACAGAGACGAGTGAGAAGTTTCTCTCTGCTTTCTGTGAGCTCGTGGATTTGGCCTCATATTTTGCCTAAGGAGATCAGCCAACACAGTCAAACGCAAGCAGCTTGGTAAAGCCACCCATCTGCCTTTGCAGAAGAGAGGACCACTAATTTACACCGAGCCTCCTGGATCTACTCATGTATTTGGCACAGAATAGCCCAATATTGTCACTGCAGAAGSTAATAAAACTTATCACTCAAATGAAACAGGCCCTCTTATCTATTAACCTCAGCAGGTGACGTGCAGCCTCCTGCCAAACCTGTAAACAGAAGCACTTCTTTTAATCATGAGAGCACAGGAGCAGTAAACAACAGAGAAGACACGTGYGTGAAGCACTTCCCCTGCTAACTCACGTGATGCTGTGCACCACGACAGCTTCGTTAATTAATGTAAAACTGTACTATGATGGACTTAATCCCGAGCTGACAGTAACGGGCAYGAGTCCACAGCCCTTCAGCTCGCTGCTGAGCTGCCTCCAAAGCACACAAACTACCAGCAGCATAAAAGGGAGTCCTTACCTTTATGCTTAGAYCCAGTGCTTTAGCTAAGCCTCTCCAAAACGTGTCTTCAGTTCTACATAGTATGAGGGTGACTAAAGCTGGTGGACTCCAGCACAAGCACCTTCACGTCCTCTGCGTGTTGCAGTTTCAAGGGAACCATTAGGAACAAGTGCTAAGTCCCACACATGGCTTTATGAGTCCTCCCAGGCCTCCCTGAATTTCCAGGCTTTGGCAGCCTGATTTCATTGTAAATCGCCTCACTAAGAAATCTTCTATTAGCTTATAAGCTTCTTACAGTGACTTATATTTGCAGCAAAGTTTACTGTCCTTTTTCAAAGCACACTCTGCCTGCCTTCTCCTGAAGCTTCTTCCCATGTGGAAAACCTTTCCAGCTTGACAGACTTTATATCTTCATACACAGAAGCACTCAAATAAAACCAGAGCCCACTATGCTGTCCCTCTAGCATCTCCATCTCCCACGTCTGTCCCAGGCACATCATATACAGAAGAAAGGAAAAAAACATATATACTTTACTGGGTACCTTTTCAGACAAGGCCATTAAACTGTCTAGAAACCTCTGCCAGAAATCCTTGAAGAGGGGGCGATCAATTTTCTTCAGACTCTCTTTGGTGCTGGCATCCACACTGACATACAGCTGCGTTACCGGCTCAAGGTTCCTTGGTAATTAAAAAGAAAAAAAGAGAATAGGGGAATTGTTATTTTACAGATATTCCTGCTAACTGAATCTTTGCATAAAACAGAGTAAGTCAGAACAAGTTGCTGCTCTGGCGCAGCAATAAAAGGAATTACACAGTACTTAAAGGGGGTGGGGGGGAAATATATATATATATCAAGCTTCAGGGGGATCATCTTTGCCAAAAGGGCCATAGTCTAAATAGCTACTGCCTCCCCAAACACAYCCAAGACTAGGGAAGTCCCACACACACAGAGGACTCGGATGACTTCTGGATGAGCAGGGAATGGGAAAGCATTACGTCCTAGGAGAGCTGCAAACCATGCAGGCAGGCTTTCCAAGCAGGATTCTCTTTGGCTTCACAGGAGGCACTGAAAGCCACTGCTTCATACCCTAACTCTGAGGTACGGCCCCAAGGCATCAACCCCTTCCCCAAAAGCACTTGCTCAGGCTTGCAGAAAGGCAGTGCCTCTYGACAGAAATGCAACTGTAAACCGGCCAGTTTTCACCAGTGGTCAGGTGGAACCTGTCTGCAACTTGCATCAGTCCAATAATTTTTGGAGAAAAATCAAGGCTGTTTGAGAAAATAAAACAGAGCAGAACCCTTAYATTGCATAAAACCAAAGCAATACCCCTAGGAATGTAATGGTGATGAGTGTGGCTTTGGCGAGCCCAACACGGGCAACACCTGCAAGACGAAACCTCTTCTGCTGCATCAAGAGGCTGGGACCAGCTGAGCCRTTCCCATAACCAAGTGGATGTGCACACACATTGCAGGGGAAGCAGAGAGGAGAGCAAACACCGCCGTGGTCTATTAGCAAACAGATAACGAAGAGCAAATAACTCGAGAAACTGAAGCGAGGTCCCTTGCCGCAGAGGAACCGGCTGAAGCAGGTGGACGTCGACGCAGGCTCCTCGACGGGTGGTGGCACAGGGTGGTGGCACGGGCGCCCGTTCATCACACACAGGCAGACACAAAGAGCCGCTTCCCTTCACAGCGTCGGCGAGATGGGGCGACGGGCACCAAGCTGCACTGTGTAACTTAACACGCTGTGGACAACGGCAGGGAGGAAACTTCCACTAGGACTTTTTGTGAAGGCTATTAATGATACAGGCAACACTTCCACTTTAACTTGGTTCTTCAGGAGAGGAGAAGTCAGCAGCTTTTGTTCAGCTGCCAAGCAGTACCACCTAAAAATACAATAAACTTCCCCTTGAAGACGATAAATGACAAGAACTGCCCAGAATAAGACAAAGCAGAGCTGTTAGTGGTCAAAAAAGCCTCTTACCTGACACGAACGTGCAAGCAACTTAGTGAAAGGCATTTTCTTTATCTAATTAGATGATTAAAGCAGCTAGGAGGAATGTGCATGTGTATGTATGTGTGTGCATATACATATATATACACATATATATATGTATGTACATATATATATATATACATATATATATATGTATGTATAAATCAGTCTCTGTCAACAAGCTTTTCTGGAACAGCAGCCTAATGCCACAAACTCCAAAATGACCAGAGTGTTCCAGGCACAAACGGATCAAAGCATTTAATAACAAGCAGCCCAAGCAGAATATTCTTCTCTTCCCCTAACACTATATTTGTCTAATGAAGAGGCCCTAAGGAAGACGCAGGGCATTTTCCAGTGCATGAGCAGACAAAATAATCTCCTCTCGAAGGCTCTGCAGCCTCCTGCAGGTGCGAGCCAGCACAGCCGGCCCTGGGGAGGACTAGGGAGGGGTGGAAAGAGACCCCGGTCAGGGTCTGCACAACTCGCCCAGACGTGGCTGGACCTAGCACCAGGMTGTGGGCCCTTGTGCAGCCTCTCAACGTGAACAGCAGGGAGATGGGAGCCAGGGGTCTGCATGTCACCAGGACGAAACAAAATACCAAGTGATGCTGCCCATAGCCAACTATGTATAATAATTAATGTGGAAATTCAGTGGCATGGAACTCGCAATGGATTTTCAGAGATTTTTCCTTACTTTGGAGTTTTARTTCCTAAACAAGATTTAGACAGTTGACATTCAGTCCAGGAGATCAAATTTGAGCTTACTGCATTTAGCATTTGTAAAATCACAGAATGGTTGAGGTTGGAAGGGACCTCTGGAGATCATCTAGTCCAATCCTCCTGCTCCAGCAGGGACACCCAGAACACAGGACACCCAGTTGCATCCAGGTGGGTTTTGAAGACCTCCAGAGAAGGGGGCAGCCTGTTCCAGGGCTCAGRCACCCTCACAGTGAAGAAGTTCYTCCTCAYMTGGAGATKGAACTGCCCTATGTTTCAATTTGTACCCATTACCCTCTGCCCTGTCACTGACCACCACTGAGAAGAGCTTGGCCTCTTCCTCCCTACATTCTCCCTTCATGAACTTATACATGTTAATCAGATCCCCTCTCAGCCTTCTCTTCTCYAGGCTAAACAGGTCCAATTTGCTCAGTCTCTCCTCGTATGAGGGATGCTCYAGTCCCCGAGTCATCTTTGTTGCCCTGGACAGGCATAAGTCATGACCATAAGTCGTCCAGTCACCAGTACCAACATCACCACCCTAGACACAGCTGAGCAAACGCTGTGCACACACAGGCCAGCCCTTGTGTAACTACATCCAAAAAGCAGAACACGACAGAGCTGAGGAACAGCTCAATCTAAGCCCACAGGCAACTAAAGTCTCATCAACTTTACCAAAACAGCCCAAAAACGAGAGGAGGAGGAGGATGCCCCGGCCTGCAGCACTGCTGGGATGCAAGGCGCGGGCTGCACGGCTGCAGAGCCTGCAGGAGCCCTCCAGACGCACGGGAAGGCTCCGGGCCGCGTGCCGGCTTCCTCGCCGCACGCCGCCTGCCTGGCTGCTTGTTTTAATGCTGACTTTAGACTACAGCTCCCTGCTGCCGACGGCYGCAGATCAGCTCAGTGCACACTTCAGTTCTCACGTTGAGCAAACCATTTGCTTTGATTAGCCAAGAGCAGGTGCAATATTCAAGACAGCCAGGCAATATTCAAATTTTTATCTTTTTTTTTTTGTCTGCTTTTTTTTAAAACTGTTTGGCAGATCCTGGGAAATTTGTCTTCAAAATACAGTGTATAGTCTTTTTTTTTTGTTAAATGCCATTTTTAGGAAGGAGCAGTTCCTGTCCATCAGGCACATAATACATGACTTTAGAGTAACTTGATTACACAACTATTCAATCATCTGGAATGCCTTTGCAGTGTGTAATTACTCGCTCAAATTGCAAGGTTCTCCCCCATCACTGCTACACTCCAACCACACAGAGGAAGGAACAGGGAAGCTCCATTGGGGAGCAGCCACACGAAAGGAGCTCGTGCTGAAGCGACGGCCGAGCAYGGCCCGAGAACAGCCCGGTCCGAGTAAATCCAGCTTGGGTAACTCCAGGCTGGGCTTGGTGTGCAGCCTTAGCCGACGGCTTCCTGAGGAGCTCCCTGGCACCCTGCGGCACACACCATGTGCAAGGGAAGGGCGTTGAGTGCATTTCTGGGCCACGCTGCTTCAGTCTTGGTTAAAAGCAGCTTGCTCAAAAACATCAGAAACAGGAATTCTTTGCATTTGTAGGCGTGCTTTCATCAGGCTAGATTAAAGCRTCACGAATGGTAACTAGCACAACTTCCTCAGAGCGCCAGAAGACGTTTCTGCAGGTGAGGGTGATGTAGCCCTRTGCTTTTTATCTGCACTTAAGCCATCCTTGGGACCCACTCCTGGAGATGCCGAGCTACGCAGAGCTTGGGTCCGAGCCTTGAGAGACATCCTTGCAGAGCCAAAGATGAGACTGCAACAGGAGCAGGCAGATGAGAAGGGCACTTTGTTTTTAACAGAGCAGGAGGTAAAAGTCACTCTCTTCTTTTTCCCCCAACCCTCTATATTGCTAGGGACTATATTATATTCAATTCACTTTCAAAAGTAATTACACCTTGTTGGAGAGGAAAAAAAGTCAAGCTGGGAAAGAGAAAGATGAGAAATGCCATGGACAGACGATGGTTAAAAGCAAATAGATGCTGAGTAGCCCTTCTCATTGCCAGCACTCCTGCAGAGCAGACTCTGGTAAGTGATGAAATCCAGTACAACAGAGCTCGCCACAGACATCTCCCCCGAGGCAGTTATTTTCTCCAACTCTTACCTAATCTCCTCTGGGAACTGTGCGTTTGTAACCAGGAAACTAGAGATGTTCTGCTGGTGCAGAAGCTTCAGGAAGCGGTTGATCTCCGGGTACATGATGGGCTCTCCCACCAGAGACAGCGCGCAGTGCTTCGCTGTCATCGCTTCTTCCAAGCGATCTGCTTTAACTCCCGACACTCCTGAGGCAGAGAGGAAAAAAATATCAGAAATTACCCGCAGCACTATAGTCATCACCTGCTGCAAGCCATTATATCTCCATCTAAAACCCGGTGGCACAAGAGAGACCAGTAACGGCCCCGCTCCTCAACCGGACACAGGTGACACCARAGGGACCGCCTGCATCGAGCAACGCGGCTCCCCGACAGCCCTGGGGCAGCAGCCCTGCAGACACGCTCCGGTTGCGGCTCACCGCGCRGGTTGCTTGAGTTTTGCAAAACTCAAGTCAAAATTGATCTTGCTGGTCCTCCGAGGTGCCTGGCTGCTGGGACAGAAACCCAGGACCACGAAAGGATCAGTGCCACTTCAGAGAGGTATTTAAAGAAAGAGCAAGCAAACCAGGTTTTGCTCCTCTCCGCTGCCAAGCACAGGTGTGTGCCCTCGTGGTCCTACGAAGACAAACTCCTGGAAGGAGCTGGGCATATTCGGAGCACAGCAATAACCACTGTGTGTCACTGCTGCTAACCACAGAAATCACCTCTGCAGAGGCAGAGGATCTGCTTAAAAAGAAAGCCAGCTTTTACAACCACAAGGTGATTGGGGGTGGAATGGACCTTTGGAGACRGTCTAGTTCAGCAGCACACGAGGCACAGTTCTGACTTTGAAAAACCATTTCAGMAGAGGGAAAAAGCAGGGAGGTCGACTGCAGCACCCACGTGCGACRGCCACGAGGCGCAGGGTTAACCGACACGATCCAGGCTGGCTAAATCCCAGGAGAGCAGAGGAGAGGGGTCAAGATTCCTGTCYGACAGAATCACAGAATATTCAAGGTTGGAAGGGACCTCTACAGATCATCTAGTCCAACCTTCCTGCTCAAGCAGGCACTCCTACAGCATGTGGCACAGGGTGGCATCCAGGCGGGTTTTGAAGACTTCCAGAGAAGGAGACTCCACAACCTCCCTGGGCAGCCTGTTCCAGGGCTCTGTCACCCTAACAGTAAAGAAGTTGCTCCTCACCTGGAGACGGAACTTCCTGTGCTCCAGCTTATGGCCATTACCCCTCGTCCTATCGCTGGCCACCAGTGAGAACAGCYTGTCCCCTTCCTCCCTGCATTCTCCCTTCMTGAACTTATACACATTAATCAGATCCCCTCTCAGCCTTCTCTTCTCCAGAGAAAACAGGCCCAGCTCACTCAGCCTCTCCTCAGCCATTCCTGCCTAAGCGCTCAGGACCCCAAATGAATTGGGCTGACTACAAACAAGTTTGTTCCRAATATGTCACTTCGCATTTCCTTGACATGCCTTGATGCACTTGAATAATACCCGAGGTTGGTCTGTTCTACAAAGAAAAAAAATATATTATATCAAAGACTTCAGTTTGAAGYGAGGTCCTCAGCTCACCTCCTGTTGCCTAGACGCTGCAGCTCTAGCAGTACGGAGAATCACCCGCCGTGCTGAAGGCAGGATGCAAACGGGCCGGTGCCGGGCGCTGCGCGAGGCGCACRCGGCCAAGGCGGCTCGCGACGGGAGCCCCGCGCATCCCAACGCCGCTAGCCCCACACCCGGGCCCGGGACGCAGCTAACGGCCCTTGTGCAGGAGCCTGGCAGCACTGCGGGAGGACTGAATTTGAGGAGACTCTCAACCACATACAGGTATTAAAGGAGTGACGTTTCTATACCTGCCACTACRGCAGGTCATGTTTTGGAATCCATTAATGTGTCTTTCTTGGCATCTTGCAGATTGGGTTAGGATAATTGCAGCGCCAGCTTTGTAAGCAGACAGCAGAAACAATTCCAAGGGGCTGTGAAGCCCTCCACAAGAACTCTCTCAGGAGAGTTAAAGCAGACCTTGCATACACCAAACACGCTGCAGAGCAGGAGGGAGCTTTTACAAGCAGTCTCTTGACCACATAAATCACAGGCTAGACAGAGGTAAACCAGAAGGGATTAGCAGCTCTGCCAGAAGCATCTCCAGCACTTTCAGCTCGGGAGATTTTCAGCAGTCGATGACAGGTCTGGCTGAGGAGCAGGAGTTACGGASCCTCAGGAAGGTGAGCGGGGCCCGCGAGACTTACAGCTCGTGGGTCCTGCCGAGGTCAAGTCCCAGCAGGAGCCCTGACTTTGCCAGCAGCCAAGACCSCTTTGAGCAGCCCATCTGCCTTGGAAAGCTGCCTCCTGCTGCTCTCCTGCTGGGGCAGGAGGAGAAACGCGTCATCTGAGATGCTGCGTTGACTCCAGGCACCGCTCTGCAAGCGTCTGTGCACCCGTGGCCACAGACGCACCGTGTGTGAGCGAGGGGACAAGGAATGGCTTTCATCTGCTCTCATAAGAGACACATGACTTCAGACCTGATTCTAAGAGCCAATCATTCGTAAAGACTCCTTCCTGGTAGGCAAGAGGGTTTCCTAGTTCAGTCCAGGCAACGCTCCTTCTTGTCTTCATTCGCTTTTCCCAAGTTAAGCCAGCCACATCAGAGAGACCTTCTCTCCCGTGTTTGAATTATGTCCCTGCCCCACGCAYGTCCTTGCGAAGGGCGCAGAGATTTACTAGTCACCACCTAGAAACCGTATCAAACGCTTGCAGCCTCCCAGCACGGCTCCCATCAGCAGCGTCTCTCCACTGGTTCCTCCATAGGAGAACGGTGCGACAAAGATTAACGACTGTGGTCYTCCAAACGCCATCCTGAGCATAGCAACAACAACAGAGGAGAGGATATACCATTTTTTAAAGCGTATAGAGACTCCCATACTGAGAGCAGAGGGTCACCAAATATTTTTGTTTCTGCAGAAAATGTCTTTCTACTAGTGAATGAAACCAATAACTGAGATTACAAGGCACGTTTGCCACTTGCTTTACCGCACTGTGTGGGCACGTGAATACAAAGCCTCATGCTGCAAAGAGCACCAGTTTATGCAGTAAAATTAAGAGTATTATCTAAGCAGCACTGCTGCTCTTAAAAGCCTCAAGGACTCTCAGGTTAAGGCACGTTCTGCACGCTTTCCTTCTCCGCCCTCTCCTGCAGTCTGCTCTGCTCTCCCTGGGGTCAGCGCTGAAGCTCTTCCTYGGATGTGCCCAGCACCAGCTGGACACGTCCCGGGAGTCAACGTGGCCATTCCCGCCACGCCGCCCGGCCGGGATCCACCCTCCCTCCCTCCGCACCACCGCCATCTCGTCCATCTCTCTGCTCAAACACACACATCCCAAGATCCATCCTGACAAAGCCCAACCTGCTTTGTGGAGCGCCGCCGAGCTCGGGGGAAGGAGCCAGGCCCTTTCCTGACCGGACAGGGCAAGGTGCTCCCGCGGGACCGAGGGAGCCTCGTCCCCSCCGCGCGCCACCTCGGAGCTCCCCTTGCCTCCCATGTGCTGCACAAGGCTGCAACCCCATTTGCCTTCGCTGAGTCCACTCTAAGGATACTCTCACAGGCACCTCAGGGAAAGGACAATGTAAGATTCACAGAATACAATAGCTGGCTACTGGGCTTACGGTTTGTTCTGTGTTTTTTTGGGCTTTTTTTTTTTTTTTTTTTTTCCTCCCTTCTTTGACTTAATAAACCTTTTGCTTTCAGGCTCCCAGGACAGAAAACACATTGTCATCTATCACTGTGAAAATGAAACATATCTCCTCTTCCCTGGCTTTGCAAAGCAGTTTGAGTCCAAGGCTCGTCTCAGCCTTTCTCTTTCTCAGTTGAAGGTCAATATAACCATGCCAAGGAGGCCTGTGTGAGGCTCAGGGAACACAGGGAATCTGTTTCATTGAAAATAAGTTCCAGGAGAGAGAATTGGGAATGTCAGAGGGAGAATCGAGAATTTTTTTTTTTTTTTTTTCAAGTGCTGCTAAGCCTGTCTATAGTCTTTCCCTCTTTTGGGGAAAACAGCAACGGGTAGGAAAAGGAAGGTTATTCCAAAGCCTGAAGATGGTTTTAAACCATTGCTTGTACTTGGCTTTGCAATGCAGAACTTGCACATTCTTGTCAAAGAATTTTTCTTTTCACCTTCTTCCCTGTGAACACCAGACACCTTGGCCCTACATGGACAACACATTCATCAGTTGCAATAGCAACTGTGTGCAAAAGTATTTGTCACTTTAAACAACATATTTGCCTTGAGAAAGGCCTCAGAAGCGACCATTCTCAGTCCAGTCCTGCCTAAAAGAAAGGAGACAGCTTGTTGCTTGTAGGACTTCCATGAATTATAGCAAAGAAACACAGAACCTCTGGTTAGGAAGGACCTTTGCAGGTCTCCAGTCCTACATCCYGCTCAGAACTGGGTCAAGATGTCAATAGTTTTGCTTAAAATATTCAAAAAAAACTCAAAAATTCTGCACTGCTCATGCAGAATCCTCCACTTGCAAAACAGATGCCCACCAACTGCCCATCTCCAGCTGGCAGCTCTGCTTGGCAGTGCTTTGCCATCGCTCCAACCAAAACCGACCGCTTCCTTCTGTCTTAATTCCTCTCATCTCCCCTCTTCCCTAAGGAATTTCCATTGCAGATTAACATCCTTCTCAGTGACCCACTGCACGCCCCTTCGCCCTGCCCCATGCTCCGGGGCAGTGTGATGTGCAGAGCGGGAATGGAACGGGATTTCCCTCTACGTGCCGGGCAGCACAGCCAGAACTTGCAGCTCGGCCTGTTCTCCGTGCAGTTCAGAACAGGAGCTCCTACTGAGCAGCTCTCAGAGCTGTTGGCCTGATTCAAGCCAGCAACTCCAGGCATCAAATGAAGCTCATGGGGCTTTAACTTGAGTTACTTTTCCTCCTGCAAGTCCAAAGAATGAGACTGGAACTCTCCGCTGCTGACAGAAGTTTTTCCCTGTCACATCTCTAATCCATCGGGCTCTCTCTGCACGCAGCCAACATAAACAAGCGAGCTCCCAAAATGACAGCCAAGACTAGGGCTCATCTTGCACATTTTAGGGATGCCTCATTTCCCTCCCGCTGCTCCCGCAGCCTCYGCTGTCAGTTAGGAGGAGCAGAGCTCCAGCCCCGGCCTGCCAAGCTGGCTGCCTGCTCCTGTGCTCACAGCTGACCTTGGCAGGGCCACCACATTCCTTAGGTTGGAAAAAAGAGGAGAGGAAAAGRAAAAAAAAAGATACAGTGGCTGTGCAACGAACTCAAAAGTAGTTCATACGCTAAGCAAGCTGCAGTGCTTTAAGAGGACTGAATGGTGTTGACTACCTGGGGCTTCCGCTGCAGTCTAATGCTCAAACACCTAATAACACCCCCAAACAGACACACACCATGGAAGTAAAACACCATGGAAGCCTAAATCCTTATGTGAGGAAGTGACATGATGCCTACAAAGATGTCCAAGAAGCAAGTCCACTGTACTCCCTCAAAGGCAGCAGAAGACTTCCAATGATCTAACACCAGGAGAGAAGGCAAGGTGTCTCAGGAAGCAAGTAATGAATGTGTCACCGGRGCTTCCCATTTGCACATCTTGTTGAAATTAGCTATAAGCTTCATGTTTTCCTCTGAGCATTCACAGAATGCTGAAGGTTGGAAGGAACCTCCAGAGGTCACCTAGTCCACCCCCCTGCACACACAGGGTTACCTAGTGCATGGGGCACAGGGCTGCATTCGGCACAAGACTCAAATGCTTTGACCCTTGCTTTGAAGATGCTGCTGTTCATTACCTCCTACTTCCACCCATTAAGGCCACCGTGGGGAGAAGTTACCTTTGAACTGCTTGATCATATTCTGATGGTTTTCAAGAGCCTCTTGCAAGATCATTTCAGGYTGATCCATTTTCCATCGCCACTCTGTACCCACTGGATTTGTGTGATGTCTGCACAAAAACAGAACGCATGAGTTATATGTTACAACTTACAGTGAGGAAGAACTCATCCGATGCCCTGGGTTCTTTATCRTTCTAGAATGAAATAAAAAAGCAGCAATCAAATTGACAGTAAGAACCCACTTCTGGAATAACCTATAAATGTGATCCTGTGGTTGGTATAAAGGCACCAACTGCTGCCCTGAGAAGACTTTTGTTTCTACCCTARGCCTCACGTAATGCTCTTGTTACAAGACTGACAAGTCAGGCTATTTAAACATATAAAGAGACTAGGAAGTTTGCAGTATGCCAGATACGCATCTGCACTTGAATTCCCTAGATGGATTCAACAGAGGTGTCTCATTCTCCGAGATCTGCTAGCTGCTGAGCGACTAAGAAATGCCAAAGCAAAAAAAAAAAACCAAACAAAAATCAACCAAGCTTATTGATTTCTTTAAGCCAAAGCAGCCTACGTGAATAAAAGCAACTCATCTTCCATCTGAGGGACAGCTGTTGTCAAACAGCTAGGCACAGTGGGTTAAAAAGCCAACCTTACCTACGCAGAAAGGGTCCCTACCTTCACATCTGGGAAAGATTTGCATGGAAAGCCTATCAGCACCACACCTGGAACAAACCACAGATCTCTCCGCACTCCCTACTCCTTTGACACAGGAAAATGTTAACRCATTTTAAATGCATCCCTTGCATTCTGACCAGAAAAACACTAGGAGCAGTGTTAAGTGCTACACAACATGGTCTCATCTAGACGGGCTGCAAGCCAGACAGGGCCAATGCAAGAGTACAGGGAAAGAAAGGGCATTAAAGGACCATCACGGCTCTAGATAAAAAGCAAGAAATACTCTGGCTTTCTGATCAGCAGACCTCTGGTTCATCTGCTGTTCTCATCAACTCTTAAAGTTGCCTCAGTCTTACAGCTACATGGCACCAGGAGGTGACATCCAATATTTAACTCCAGCATGAAAGACAGAGGGAAGCAATTTTTTCCAGAGTTAAGTGGCTGGTTCAGTGACCAGCAAGTACAAGTCAACTCTCACTAGCTCCATAAATGAATTCTGAACTTGGCATCCCTAAAGCAGCCTTCTGGTCCAAAAGGTTTTGTCCACTTCAAGCCTAACATTCAAACACTCTTCTCAAACTGCTCTACCCTCTCCAAGATAATAACCTCCAAGCTAAAGCAGCTCTGCTTTCTGGAGTTCCCACTTTTTCAGACTGCCAACACGGAAAAAATTTCTGAATGCTAGCTATAAAAAGGCATTTATAAAACTATTACATGTTTAACTACATAGCTTGTACCTTGTATATTTAATAGGGCAAGCTGGCAGAAAATCAATAGACTCTTGATGTACTCTGGACAGTCATTAATTATTAGTGTGTAACAGCCCTTGAATTTAACACATTCTAACTGTTTAATAAACACACCAGGTCATGTCTACAAAGCAGCTTATTTGGCAAAGAGCCGTTYTCTTCAAATACGGGAGAAGAGCAATGTTTTGTGGCTTGTGAGGCTGGTTCACACTCTCCGGCCCAGACAAAACGTAGCTGTCACTTCTCCTTTCCCTGGGGGCTCCGTGACCCCCGGCATCATCAACCTCCCTATGTACTCCAGGCTTAAGGAGCACTGGAAGCAAAGACGTGGGCAGGGTGGTGAGCACTCCAACCCTTTAGGGTGCCATGCTAAACACCTCGTCCTTTGGGATGCCCCTTGTTGTACTAGGGAGCTTCAGGTCCAAAACGTGCCCATTTGAGAAGCTGCCCTAGGACTCCCAAGGCGAACCACGACGCTGCTGCCGACCGCACGGGGTTGCAGGGCTCGCACTTGGACTCGCCGATCTGAAAGGTCTTTTCCAACCGTAATCATCACTGGCACTATGAAAGTCATGCAAGATCCCACCAAGGCAAACGGGCAGCTCTCAGCTCCCTCCTAGCAGCGGCCTCCCACTGAACCCTCCCTGCGTTCTCCTCAGAGCGCGGGTCTCCCAGGGTCACTTGCCAATGCCACCGACACGTCCCCAGCAGTCGGTGAGACGTCGGCAAGGGGAGCGTGTGCTTCAGCAGAGCAGTGCCCACAACTGCCCCGTCAGTCACAGGGCRGTTCAATAAACCACCCGTCTGCTCAAGCACCAGGGGCAAGGCCGTCCAACAGTGCTAAGTCCCACGATATAAAAAGGCAAGATTTATTGCAACATTATCACAAAAGAGAGGCATTTCCCCCTTGCATCTGCTTAGTTATAGATGAAGGGGGTTTCTTCTTCGTTTGAAGTCTGGCAGTTTCTGTATTGGAGCAGTAAGCATAAAGAAAGCTGGGCTTGGGGTCAGGACTCCCAAACAAAGGCTGATTCCACACTTGGCTCCCAGCATGGCCCTAGGCAAAGCAACCATCCCCTTGAGAGCCATCCCCTCCTGCAAGCAAAACCTGACCCCAAGCCTTCCAAGAAACTGCGGGGAAAGGCTGCACCAAGACAACGCACCATTTACTCCASTGGGCAGTGACTGGGGTTGATGGCTGGTTGAGAACGTGAGGGAGAGGAAAGGCTGGCAGCAGTGACGATGGAAGGATGGAGTCCATCATCCCCAGGAACGGTRGAGAGCCGAGTAAAAACCACCGAGTGCAGGAAAGCAGCGGACTCGGAGCTGAGAGGGGAGAGCTCAGAGCTCCCGGAGGAGGAAAGTTTCCAGCAACGTCGTCCAGGAAAACTGACAGCTTTTCAACTCTATTAAGGCAGAAGTGCAAACTGCAGCAATAAAAAAGAGACATGAAGTATAACAAGAAACCAATCTGGCAGAATCACGAGCTCTTCAACCACCTCAGCAGTCCTCTGCTGAAAATAAAACGGAGGACGGAAGCACGCGGGGTCATAATCAGAAAGGTCAAAGCACAAAACAAGATACAACTGGCAAAGGGCAAACAAAAAAGCCTTTCCCTGTAACGACAGGATTGTGAGGCAGACTCGGGGAAATGCTGCTCCAAGGCRCAAGGAAGCAGAGACCAGCACTTCCCCATGAGGCCAGGAAAACCAAGTGTTTTCACCTTTCTTTTGCTTCTTCCCAATGCCAAAGGAGAACTCCAGCTAGCCTAGGCACAGAAGAGGTTTAGTTATCTAAGTTAAGCGTTTTCAAATGATCAGGTGTCATTAAAACCATCCTAGCGTGTGGGTGACCTGGCTGAGGGGGGGGATCAGAGAGACCAGCCATAAACTAAGCACTCTTGAAGCACAAGAGTAGAAAAGCCCAAGTGCAACACCCAGTTCAGGAGAAGACAAGGACCTCTACATCGCTCCTTAACCTCCTGCTCCTCAGGAAGCTGTGGAGTACAAGAGCTTGTAACCCTCAGCAGGCAGCCTGGAGGTGATGCTGTGTAGTCAAAACTTGCAGGTGACTGCAAAATGCAGGGTGGGGAAGCAAGCAGCTAGGTGGCACTTCCAGGAAGAGGGATCCGTTGCTCGACTACAACAGTGATCACTGTTGTAGTCAATATTACACAGCAGCAAAAGCTCATACTGACAGGGCAAGGCAGAGGGCAGAAAGCACTGCCCAAGAGGCAGACTGAAGGACTCAGATTTACATCTGAGACAGGCCAAAGRGAAGAGAGAATATCTGCCTGCAGCTACCAAGATGCTGCTTCTCCCCACACGGAGAATAATCCAACAGTCTTCACGTTACAGCCAGGGGAGGCCCCCAGACACGGAGGAAGGGCAAGAGGGCAGCGCGGCAGCACCCACCTCCGCAGCCACAGGAATATCATCCCTCCACATCCCTAACAACAGGCTAGGAAAAACAGCAGTCAGGAATGATTCACTGCCTTGGAGCCTGAGATAAACCGAGACTCCAATTCCTTCCCGACGTGTTTTCTACGAACAGACGATGCTCACGTACAAGTCAAAAAAAAAAGTTCTCATAACAATTTAAAAAAACGCAAAAACTATCTGGGCTGCTGTCTGAGAAAGTGAAACACAATCAATATTTCTACAGAAATTTCCTGTTAAATAACAGCCAGTTATTTCTCAGTGTTGCTCTGAGCAATCTTTTGTTAGATTTTGGTACAGGCAAAATAGCTTTTTCTTTTTCCTTCCCCCCCCCGCTTCCCTTTTTCCTCGAATTTGCTTATTGTGAAGTTTTTCAGATGGCATGGAATTATTCATAAGCACTAGGGAAATGTAAACAATTTAAGGGCAGAAAAAAGTGAAAATAAGCTTAAGTCAAATATTTGGATATTTAGATATCCAGAAAATTATTCTCATCTCAAAAAAAAAAACCACAAAATATTCATACTTTCCAAAAAAAAAAAAAAAAAAGGACTTTTTCAGCTGTTTTAAACCATACTTTTTTCAGGAACTGTTAAAGAATCCCCCTGCAAGAGCCCCAAGTGAATAAAACAACACAGCAGATCAACTCAGTTTCCTTATTCCATTAAAAYTGTGCGACGGGCAAATCTTAATTAGTTTCCCAGCAGAAACCCGCTCCACACTAACTCCAAAACTCGACAAGTTAAAGCATCAAGATGGGCAAGGTAACTTCCAAAGCCCAGGCAGGCATCAGGACCTTCAGATGGAAAAATACAGCTAGGTACCACTCTGCAAGCACCCAAAATGACTGTCAAGACAGATATGAGCAAATAATCCGATTATATCCATTACCAATGCTGCAAGTGCCTAAAGCAATAATGGCAGCTACAAAAGTCCAGAAAAGGAGAAATCCAAGTGGGTGAGAACACCCCCCCAACGCAGCAAGGCTGAGAGGAAAAGCATGGATTTCAGTGCCAGGCAGTTTGGGGCATAGTACTTTTTCATCCCTTTGCAACAGTTTTTGCTTTTTCCATAATCGGAGTGACAATAATCCCCATATCAGAGTTAATGCTCAGGTGGCAGAGACCACCCTAGAGTGGGATTTTATCTACAGAGACCAAAGCCCCCCAGTTTCRATGCCTGGATTTGGCAAAGCAGCATCTAACTGCTGCTAACACAGCAGGGGAAGCGACTCCAGCCTGTGCAAACCTAAGACCACAGCAGTGCTCTGAGGTTAAGCACTAAACCCCACCAAGAGGCTGGAAAACAGGCACCCAGCTGAGGTGGTCACCCACGTTCTAGCTCCCATCTTACCCAAGGGACCACAGGGCTGTCCTCTCCTGGAAGCCAAGGATGAGCATTAGCAGATGCAACGAGCACTGGCAGATGCACAGAGATTTCTTGTGGTTGCAGGCTCAGCTTCCAAGCAAACTTTGCACATGCAGACTGTTGTCAGCATCTTTAATCATATTAKAATATTTCACATCTCCCTGAAGAATTAGCCTCTGCAAGCAACTCGTCTAATGAGGAGAAACTTTTGTTTTAATCTGTTTAAAAGCTGTGTTTCATCCTTGCCTCTCCTCCCTTTCTTTTTATTAGCATCCCTCCACGGGGCATTTACCACCAGGGGAGATTAATTTTTCATCTCTTCATTTTAAGGGTCTTTGTGACCACTGCATTTTGGCCACACACATTCACACTAACTGACCAGACTTTCAGCTGGCACAAATTAAAGCTGGAATCTCCAAGCGCACATTTAAACACCCTAAAGTTGCAAAGGAAGAAGAAATATGAGGCAGGTTCCTTCAYGGGATATTTTATTCTGTCTGGCTTGCCTCCTCCTCAGGATGCAAAAATAATAAAATCTATTAATTTAAATTTTATTTAGCCGTCTCATCTCTCCACAATAATTGATTGTGTCCTAGCTGCTCAGCCAGGAGATGCAATCAAATCAGCTTCGCCTGCTGATGGGCTGCGGTGCCGGCACTGTCAGAAACACTCAGGCCCTAATTGATGAGCAGATCGGGTCACTTGCACGTTTCCATTTAGACAATTAAGCTAACGAGACCCTACAAACCCAGCGAGAGCAACTGGAAACAAGGGCGGGTAGCGACAGCCTGTTTTTGTAGGGTAAACCACGAGGTAGGGATGGTGCAGCAATTGTGGTCTTCTCTCATCTCCCCGTGTTCTTATTGTCACCRGTCATGTGTTGATGCTGGGATACTCATCCAGGTCCCCCCCAAAATAAAGCTGATGTCCCTCTGCCCTCCAGAGAAACTAGCACAGTATAAGCCTGCATTAACACAAAATTAATGTCAGGCTCTGACTAGGTCTCCTAGGGTCAAGGAGGAAGGTCTAGAATGAAGAGAGAGAAACTACATCTTTAATCTGCTAAAAAAAAACAATAATAATTTTTGAGCGCGTTTTGGAAGCGCTTCCACCCAYGAATTCTGGTTTAGGGCCAAAAAAATGTCACTCATGAGCAGCCAACAATTGCATCCAATTCCCAGGGAAAAAGGGCTGAACTGCAGCACTTCTTGCCAAAATGAGAAAGGAAAAAAGAAACAAACAGACTTCTGGCCTTTCCCTCAGTGAGGCTGGGAGAGCTGCACTGCAGTTGTGTGGTTGGGAGCATTGGCACCCTCTACAGATGTCAAAAATCTGAAATAAATCAAATTTAAAAATCCTCACAGCAGCTTTGTCKGCAGTTTAGCACGCAGGGCTAAAGCAAGAGGCTGCAGTGCTTTAAACCTGCACTAGAAACACGGATAGCAGACCTAAGGCATCACTTCCTACGTCTCCAGCTGGGAACTGCTAATGACAAGGCCCTGTGTTTGCGGTGCCCAGCCACCAGCAGCTGGAACTCTGCATTTACTGTCCCATGACTCAGAAGGAGCACAGACTGGCGGGCTGAAGTGCACAGGCATCCCTGGATGCAGCTGGAGGGCTGCACAAAGAGCTGGAGAAGGTGGATGGAGGAGACTCCCTCACCAACCAAGAGCAGCTGTTCCCACGGACTCGTGAGACRCTCACCAGCCACCCGCGAGGGCGAGGACATCGACGACGACCCTTTCTGCATTGCCTTCTGTGATCCCTTGGGGATTCCAAAGAGCTTCCGAAAGACAGAGGTGCCAACACCCTCAGGATCTGCCACCTGCCTGCTCCGGATAATGAATCATCAGGTCAGAAGTAAGGAAGTCCCATGAAAACACTGAAACCTCCACAGCAGTTGGAGGGATGGAGACCAAGAGCCTTCCTCAGGAGGGAAGGCCTGATTTCCTGCACAACTGCTGCTATTCCTAAACAAGCAGACCTCACTCTCCCAGGAAAGTGTCTGACGAGTGAGCGTCTTTGTCACCACGATCCTCTGGAAAGCCATTTCCTTGCATACTAGGTTAGCATTAATAAAGTAACTTTTCTAGCACTACTTGTTAGTATTAAGCAGAATTCTCAAAACAGAGCAAAACTGAAAAACGACAGCTGTAAATTACAAGTCAGAGGTAGATAAGAGGTGCCACATGTGGTAATTTATCCCAATTATTGTCCTTTCACACACACCCTAGTTTGCTTTCCCCACCTCAGTCCCCTGCCTGAGGCCCAGGCTCCTGCTGCTGARAAGTACTGGCGTTGGGTCATTCTGAAGGGGACAGCATTAAATCACCCGCACTGGAGTCCTAGGGACAAAACACTTCATTCTGGTGCTGTTGCTGCTCTCCAGTTGGTGTTTATGATGTACTTTCTATGTCCAGAGGGACAACACCACACATGGCAATATTATATATATATATATATAGCCATAATATAAATATATTATGACAATAGCAGCACCATTACCACTGTAGGATTGATTGCACCATCGCTAGCTGATGCGCACAAAGACACCAGAAATCTGCAGCACGTTTTTCATCCCAGTCAACAACTCATTATCACATGCTCTGAGGACCAGTGGGAAAAGCTGCACRTTAAACATGCTATCTGCTGTGTCCTTTCACGCCACGCCAGGATGAAAGCCTATCAAGAGCACCAATTAACATTTAGGAATAGGTTCCCAAAGGGATACTTAACGGGATGACCAGCATCTAATGCTTACACTTAACACTAACATGCAAGATTACTTTGGAATGCACTTTGAAGTTTAGAGGTACTTTTGYGGTGCTGTTGCCACTTAAAACACTTCCTTGAAATATTTCCATTATTAAAACTTGAAGACTGTTTAATGAAGGACAGGAAGCAGTACGAGAGGAATCTGGGTGGTTTTGCATGAAAATAAAATATTGTAAGTATTGTAAGTATTGTCTTATAATAAGTGCTGGACAGCCAGGCTTAGAGATGAAATATGAGGGTCACTGGCAGCCAGTCCCCTGGGGCAGACACAAATACCCACGGAAGCGCAGCCCCTGTGCTCTGAACCCGTTATCAAGGTGGAGATAAAGGGCTCCAAGAACAACCTGTGCAGCCTCCCCCTCGGTGCAGCAATCCCTGCTCCCTCCGGGCGCATCCCGCGCTCCCCGGCCGGGTGCGGAGCTGCCCTCGGAACCGCCGGCAAGCAAGMGGAGCTAGTGCTGCTTTAGGCTCAGCTCCAAAGCTGATTGCCTGCAAAGCACTAACAACAAAGTCTAGAAAGAGGTCGCTTCACTGTCTGAAATGGAAAATCATCTATTAGCTACTGTTTCAGCAGTTACCAAGTCACCACTTTTTGCCCACTTTCAATGCAACTAAATTGAAGATGAGGAGGGAGAGGGAATTTAAATAAAAGGGATTCAAGTTTAAAACGGAGAATCATTTAAGAACTTTGCACTTTGGCTTTGCACAAGATGCAGCCCTGGAAAAGGGGAACATATTGGCAGAGACATGAAGAGGGAGCACAGCTCCCTTGCAGCACCTTCCTCCCTGCCTTTGCCRGGCAGAAGGGACCCACGAGTTCCACTGTCCCCGGCGAGGATAAGAGCAGAGGGCAGAGTAACACAAAGCCCAGCCTAGCTGCTAGTGCAGAACCAGGCCCAGGATCAGCGTCACGGACACGAGCAGCTGCCTGGGTTAAGCAGTGCCCCCTTCCTTCCTTCAGTGCACGGCACGCTCAGCACCAGGATCCTCCTCCCTTTCTCAAGGCTGAACGTGCCTCTTACAGGATGCRGACAGGCAGTTTCTCCCAACGGGAACGGGCAGCAGTATTTTACCTCCAGCAAAAGACGCATTTGTTGGCGCAGGCCAGGCTCGGCGTGGCCTCCATGCAGCGGTGGCTCTCAATGCCATAGAAGGTGTGTTTGTAGCAGCCTCCTCGGCCTCGGAGCATCGACTGAGGGCAAAGAGAGACACAAACAGCAAGGAAGTTAATACACTATAACCAAATAGAGTGAAAAGAATGGAGAAAAAAARRAAARRAAAAAAAACCAATAAAAGCTAACTTCAGAATAACCAACTTCAAGGGGACCAACGAGAGTAGCAAGGCACCCACGGAAAGGTCAAAGCTGCTTGTGAAAGGTCCCAAATGCAGCCAACAGGCTGGAATATTGTGACTGTCAGAGCCAGAGGAACACCACGAGGCACAACGCTGCAGATATTGTCCCAAACACAACCAGGGCTCGTCTCCAAGGCTCGCTGAGGCCACTGCAGTTGGGCTACCTGGACACAACTGCAACGTTTGGTTTGAACTTCTGCATTCAAAGTCACCTATGACAGATATCGCAGGCCCAATCAATGGTGCACAGCTGGTCAGCATCATGATGGGCACAGTCACTTTAAATATTTTAATATATATTCATATTTTATACAAATATAGCTGGATACACAGCAAGCAGACCAGTATACAGCCTGATTGTATGTCCTTACAGAAGGATTTCTGATGTCAAATTTACAACTATTTTAGAAGAAAACCTTTAACTTCATCATTCTTTCTTCATCTGTAACACTATGTACGTATAACAGCATGTTTTCCTGGAGCTTTTAACTGAATCAGACAACAAAAAGCAGATGAAGCCACTCAAGCTGCAAGAAACATCAGCGTATAAAGCCCAGTAAGGAGAATAACAAAGATCAATTTAAAGGCTGCATTACTTAACACTCAATTCTTTTCATTTGTCTAATAGACTTTCCACTAACACTAAATTAAATAAATATCCTGACCCTATAAACTCTCATTCACACCAGTCATGGGCTTCAAGACTCCTCCCTTTCCCTAGCAGCACTGCAGCAGCCTTCCCACTGGAATTTCTCTTCTATTTAGCATGCAAGTTGCTTGGAGCAGAGCCTGTCTCTCATTAGCTCAGTTAAATAACAACAACAGAGAGAACCTCTACCACTCTCAAGAGGGAATGGGAAATATAACAGAGTAACTTTTAATCTTTCTTCCTCTACCTGGAGAGCCCTGATGACCCCAGGCAATCAGCCCTGAGCACTGGAGGAGGAGTGTGCAGGTAATCCCAAATACCGGGTGCAGCGCCATTATACAATGGGAAGATGAAACAAAGTGGAAAATGAGGTTTATTCCTCCCATGCCTCAAATGATGTAAACATTAGGAGATGCATAAATTCTAGGAAAGCCAAGTACACGTTGAATTTCCTAAAGCCCACCAATAAGCATCCTTTTCCTAGTATTTTTAAGTTTGCATTTTTCCAGAATATGACAAAACAGAGCAGTTTTAACCCGAGCTATCACTACATCACTTTGCTTTGCACCACTCCTGCTCTGCACGGATGCAGTGGGGAACAAGCCTTGCTAAGACCCTCGCATACTGGTGCGAGCCTGAGTCAAAGCCACCGTCTGTAACCAACTTCAACCCAATTTATTAGAGCMCTTTATGTTCAATTCCTGCTTGTGCTAAAAATAGTATGGGCCCATCTAAGCACACAGCGCTCCTATTTATTCTGTGAAATGACTTAACAGCGCTGCAATACATTCTGGCTCTTTAATACAAATGGGTTCTCTGGCTTGCCTTCGCATTCACAGCGTTGACAGAGTTTGACAAGTTTTCCTTTAAATAACTTGTGGCCTTCTCAGACTTAAAAAATAGTAGGAGAGAGAAATATCTGTAAGAGTAAACAGCAGAAGTACCAGTAGGATCAGGAGAATTTGCAAATAGTCATGGCAGTACAACAGGAGGCTCTTAAAATTGTTCAAAAGTGCAAGTCCTATGATGAGGTAGTACATTGATCCTAAGCATTTCAGTAAAAAACAGCAGCTGCTGCCACCCTGCCTGGTACTTGCCATTCAAGGAGTGTTTTTTGAAGATGTAGTTGACCGTGAAGCYGAGATGCTGATCACTGGCACCGCACAACAATTTAGAGGTGCGCGGCATGTTAGAAAGATGCAGATTCAGAGCTTATTGTCCTTCTAGTACTGAAGAATTCAGCATGTTAAATAAAGGCTACTCTACAAATAGGCTGCATTACAGGCCAGAGGTGCAGAGCAGGGGGGATCTGTGAGCTGCTTCTCAGGGTCCTGCAAAAGCAGTTAAAACAAGAAACGTATCGAAAGAGCTGAAGCTTCACGTCTGCAGACAAACTCCTTGAAAGCTGCTGGTTTACCAAGTCTCCAGATTGTACACGAGGACTTGCCAGATGAGTACACAGCCATCCTTCAAGCTATCCAAATACACACACAGTGTGTGCATCTGTGCATGTAAATGCCCATATATACACGTCTATAATGTGTATACACCTGTGCACATGTATATATACACACACTCCTACAAAGAGCATTTTTAAGAGTTTCAAGCACTGGCAAAGTGACAGTGACCTTACTGTCTAAATCTTTGACAAATGCCAAAAATCCATGGAGGAGCAGTGACTGTTGCAAGTCAGCTACATTAGTCACAGGAAAAGAAAAGAAAATAAACRCCTAAATGCCCCCGTGTGTGTGTCTGGATGCAGCGACAAGACCGTTATCCTCGTTTCTGGAGACCTCGCACGGGCGCCCTCAGCTTCTCCCTCTGCTCTTCAGGGCTCTTCTCACCCCATCTATTTCAGGGGGCAGGAGAGTTTCACAGGCAGCAGGATAACAGGAAACAAGAACATACAGAAGATGATACTCCCGATTATTTGCCACAGTCACATTCTCACTCAGCATCAGGCTTTTACGAGACTGAAATGCAAAGTGACAGCAGGGAAGCAAAGTGCATTTTAATGCACATAATAGCTTTTTTACCTGGAGGCTGTAGCACCTAAGTCTCTAGTTAATAACAGGAAAAGTGTGGACYAAATAAATAAATAAATAATAATACCTTTGTCCATCGGCAGAGCTTCACCCCGGAGTGGCTACCAATCAGTTTGTAACCTGAAAAGGAAGAGGAGAGTTGCTTTTAACCTGCAAAACTAGGGTCACAGCACACATCTACTGAGCCCCGTCACCCCAGTGCTGCTCATCCCTGCTCCACACAGGGACGTGGGCACAAACTCGGCAGTACCACCGGGATGTTAATGCCCAACTTTAAGTTCAGGAAGGGAGAATGCAGGGAGGAAGGGGACAGGCTGTTCTCACTGGTGGCCAGCGATAGGACGAGGGGTAATGGCCACAAGCTGAAGCACAGGAAGTTCCGTCTCCAGGTGAGGAGCAACTTCTTTACTGTTAGGGTGACAGAGCAGTGGAACAGGCTGCCCAGGGAGGTTGTGGAGTCTCCTACTCTGGAGGTCTTCAAAACCCACCTGSATGCCACCCTGTGCCACATGCTGTAGGTGTGCCTGCTTGAGCAGGAAGGTTGGACTAGATGATCTGTAGAGGTCCCTTCCAACCTTAAATATTCTGAAATATTCTGAAATATTCTGAAACTTTCTCCATTTAGGTCTGCAGCACAGGCCACTGCCACCGAAGGGACTTTGCCGTTTGGAATTGGTGGCTCTTCCCAGGTGATCTGTTTATGAATCACCGGGCTTGGCCACGTAACTTGTCCTTGTCACAGGGCGGCACCATAAGGTCCTGCAGGACAAGTGCACTGAATTTCAGGGCTGGCCCCAGCCCATGCTCGTGGGGATGGGGTCTGTGCCCACAGCCAGTGCAGAAGCACAGAACGAGGGTCCCACCAGGGCTACCTCAGCATGCAGCTCAACCACCCCTGAGTAGCACTTGGGGTGGGGAGCATCTCCCGGGCCTCACACCATCATCCTGGAGCAAACACTCCAGCAGCCTCCTCTGCAGGTCCCAGTCTGGAGATCCGATTCCCTGTGCAGCCACGAAGGTGGAGGATGAGCAGGGCTCAGTTTAGACCCCAATTCCATGGGTGGCTCCTGCAMAGCCACAGCCTCCGAGGGGGCCGCTCCTCCAGGCCCAGGATGAGGCTCTCCCCACTCTCCAGCCACGACTAACACAATCTAATTTAAATTTATTGGTCCAAGAGGATTAATTCCACAATGTTTGCTAAGCACTAAGTCCTATTATTACCCAAACTGCATGAGTTAGGTTATTTTCCCTCTTTGAAAAAAATCTGCTTAAGAGAACCATATATAAAAGATTAAAAGAAGTCACCTCAAAATCAGCATTAAGAGGGATTTGGGAAGCCTCMTGGCATCATTCAGGCAGCACGCAACAGAATTTACATATCCGTGTCCTAGATGTCCCCAAACCACTTCAGCAAGCACCTCTGCGCTGATGTCACCACTGCCAAGGGAAAGTTTGAAGCCCATCTCCTTCCCCCAACTTGCACCACCTCGAGGCTCAGCGAGGGCAGCTGGCCCTGCTCTGTCCCCACCAAAGGGGACATTTCCCCTGTCCTGCAGATCTGCTGCTGCGTGTCCAGCACGGTCAGGCCCCAGGGCATTGCCCCAGCAAACGCCCGTCACTCAAAGGGCTCCAAGCCAGCGGGGACCGATGACACAGCAGGTGCCACAGCGGCTGCACCAGCCAAGAACTAAATGGTGTGAAGATGCACACGGATAGCAAGGAATCACACTGGACCTCTGGCACCTGAACCCAAGCGAGCTGCTCGGTCTCCTCTGCTGCTCGGTCTCCTTCCCAGGAGGCTGCACGGAGGCTTGTGCCAGCACACGCAGGGTGCCTGGCAGGAAAGAGCAGCAGGGAACCTCCTTTAGATGGCAAGCAGACTGACTGCCCCATTGAACGAAGCTTCAGCAAGTTCAGGGTGGGCTGTTCTGTGCCCTTCCTCCCTGCAGCTCCGTGGGACTGGATATTTCACCCTTCCCCAAATGTGCAGCACTTAAAACCCCCTAGACACACTTAGGGCTAAGCAAAAACTGGTAAGGAATAAAAACCTGCTGCAAGCCAGAACGTCTTAGCATTTTACACAGCAGAACATCCAGGTTTCTCCTGGAGAAACACAGCAGCACTAAGTATAAATGCAACCAACACTTAAAGTGTGGAACTGATATTCTCTAGAGCCACACATGATCCTGGAGACACTTCTAGAGGAGAGGATGGGACCCAGAAAAGCCCATGCCATAGTGAATTCCAACTCTGACGCTGGTCAGAGGTGCAGCCAAGTGCTCTACCTCCTTGTATCTGTATCACATCTCTTCAACCTACCTGAGACCCATCCTGCCTCTTTGCAGATGGGTTGTCCAGCCTAGCTCCAAATGGGACCTTCCCGGGCTAGTGGAACTCATGTCTGCATGGCGCTGTGGATGGTACCTTCCTCCTCCCTCTCATGCAGTTCTTCAAATCAAACTGCCTGCTGCTGTCAAGCAGCTCAGCCCTACCATATTTGTGCACTTCTCAGGTCCAGCAGCAGTGTTCATGCAAGATTATTCTCTCCCAGATCACTGGCTAGAGCTGATATGGCTGCTTGAAAMGGGCCATTAGCTTAAAATTAAATCAAAAATAGAAGACACTTGCCCAAATCCCTTACTGAGTCATTTAAGAGAAGAAAGGAGCCAGTTAAACCAAGCAAGGTGCCAAACTCTGCAGCTCAAAGCTGCAGCATTTTCTCTTGCAGCTGGACCAACTTGCACCACGTGAGCGCCCACAGCTTCCCACAAAGGCCAACAAAAACGTACACGTTCAACCCCCAAACAGAGACTTGCAGATTTCAGCCCCTTTAGAAATGAGAGGGAGCTCAATCATCTCGCTTGCTGCTGCCAGAAGCTCCAGTTAGTGGAGGAAACAGCACACAGTGGCAGGACTTCTCAACCCCCAGTGCTGAGCTCTGCTCTCCTCCACCTCGTGCAGAGGGCACGGCCACCCCTGCAAGCCACACCAGGGACCCCAGGCCTTGCCGTGCTCTTCAGAAACCAAATCCGAACCAGGTAACATCAGATAAAGCTTTGCATGTACCAACGTCCCAGTCCTGGTGCCCTCCACACATCTGAGCTAAGTAACATCCCCCCACACCTAAAAAAATGGTTTCTTCTCACGTTCTCTAACAGCTGGCTAGCAACACAGGCAGCACACCAACTCGGGCTTCAAGAAGAAACTACCAAGGGTTACGCCAGAAACAAGGAGGACYGAGAACCAAATGTAAGCGCAAATGTGTCAGAGACCCAATCTGAGAAGCTTCTCCGTTCTTATTCTGCATCTCAGATTCCYAAGAACAACAAATCTCTTCCAGCAGCTTTGACATATCACAACAACCCTGGCAAAGCTTTCTTACAAACAGTGGAAAAAATTATATATGCATATGTAAATAAATAGGTAGTTTTATTTGGTCTGCATTTACATTGTGCCAAGGCTCACTATGGACACAAACTGCTTCTCTGCTCTTGCTAAAAGGTATTACTTGTAAGCAATAAGCGTAAGCGAATATTTGGATATAATAGCTTCCAAACAGGGTGCTATCTAGATCATACTCTGTCCACAGAGCCCATAAACCTTAAGGTCCCAGKAGTTTTCTCTTCCATAGCCCAGCACTCAAAGCATTCCCTAAATTACAAGCAGGATCATAATCAACTCMATGCCTTACTAACAGCACATGAACACAAGAAACAGCACATGAACAGAAATCTGTGCTAGTTGATTTGCACTAGATCATGAATTTTGAATAACCTCGAAACCTGCCTGATTTCCTGATTTCACTAAAATTTAGGGTCATAACTCACTATTACAGAGGCATAAATYAAGTTCCCAGAGAAGTTTTTGGAAGCAAGCGGGACCAGCAGCACCAAGCCCACGAACACGGCAACCGCCTGCAGCAACGACTCAGCTGGGGTTCGGAGCACAGCCACTGCAAGAGACCCCCTGCACCACCTTGCAGCTTCGCAGCTCCACCATGCAGAGAATAGCTCAAAAATGCTCTCTCAAATCCAAGGAAATCATGGAGGGAGCCTGCTGAGCTCTGAGCCCCTGGGAATGGGACAGGACAGTGCTGCATCCACGCTAAATTGTAGCATATCTTCATCTTCTGGTTATTTTTGCTACATTGTTCATTTTTTACCAACTTCACATAAGTAGCAGCTTTTTCCAAGCCATAAAGTATGATGRATTTACACTGATGAGCAATTGTTAGCTTATTCTAAGTCAGAAAGCAAGCACACATAGCCAAGGAATATATTTATATAACTCCATCCATATTAGACGCAGCATCAACTGTGCAAACTTGCACAGTTAAAAACCTCCATCTTTAATAGACAGCCCTATGACATAACTCTGTAATGCTACTTAATTTTCCAGTTTTGACTATTCTGATGTGGCAAAAATCTGGAAGAAAACCCAAGCGCACCTCCCAGCACAAAGCTCAACACCATCGTGTCCTCTGTTGAAGCAAGTTACTGCAAAACAAAACACAAAGGTTTAATTCTGGAAGAATKAAGTGGATCGGTGGTTGAAAAACTCCAACGGTGTCAGAAAAAGAATTCACTCTCCTTCTCTGGTAGAAGGCAATCACAATAACCTTGGCAAAGAAAATCTGATGTCATATTAGACTTRAGAACTCAAATGACTTTCAGAAAGCTTTCTTCTGGGAAAAGTAATATAGAGCTGACAAATCAGCACRGTTCTGAGGCAGTCTGCTTAAAAAAGCCTTCTCGTTTAAAGCAATGATTATTGGTTAAARCTGAAACTCGGTTCAAAAAGAAGAACTTCACACCAGGAGAATGTTTACAGGAAGAGAGTTTCCAATTTCCTACCATTTCACAAGAGTGCTGGTTAAAAGGAGCGGACGTGCAGCTCGGTGATACAGCAATCATCGGGCGCCATCACTTTGGGGATCRTTCTGAAGGCTCCAACAAAACTGCTGCGCTTGAGCCAGCGCCCACAAGCGACCAGAAAACTAAAACTAGACAAGGAATTAGAAGCCCCACAGCATGGATGAATGCAGCCCATTCAAGTTATATCAGTGCTCTATACCGAAAATCAAAACAAGTAGGACACGGAAAATGGAGTTTAAGTTGCCTAAGGGACAAGGGACAGGGAAAAGTTCCAGTTTCCTTCTTGATGTTGCTCAGAGTCTTCACACACCCTTGGTCAGCCCATCCCAAGATCTAGCCTTAGTCCTTAAAAAGGAGAGAGTCCTCTGTCCATTTTCCCTTGCATTACACAGTCCCAACAGCTAGTTGTTGGAACGTGATGGAAGGAGCTGGCTCAAACTGATCTTATATTCTTTATTTCTTCATATGTTCTTTATTTACACAGGCCGTTCATAAGGAACTTTATGAAAAAAAATCAGCAGACTTAACTTTGCCTAGTTTCAGTCACCGCATTCATTCATTCATTCATTCATTTTGCTTACAGGTCTCCAAGTGTGAAGAACTGGGTCCTTTGCCAGCTAATTTTTAACCTTTCCATGACTAGCATTTGGATTCTGGCCTCGCTGGGAGGCAGTTTCAGAGGCCGCCGTATTCATTCATTCATTCATTTTGCTTACAGGTCTCCAAGTGTGAAGAACTGGGTCCTTTGCCAGCTAATTTTTAACCTTTCCATGACTAGCATTTGGATTCTGGCCTCGCTGGGAGGCAGTTTCAGAGGCCGCCGTCACTCAGCCTGGAACCAGCCGCAGGCTGCTAGTGCCACCTGGAGCCCACGGGTGCCACATCCAGGGACGCGCAGGAACACTTGTCCAGATGGGTGCACATCCAGCAGCACAGATCTCCAGGGAATATCCTTTTGTAGTTCATCTTATTTCCAAAGTCAGGACATTTCAAAAGCTCAGCACCAAGCTGGAGCTAGCAGAAGAGCTTAGAACGGGTATGAGAAAACGTGGACCAAGAAGAGCCAGCAAATACATCCTGATATATGTAGCACATGCTCAACAGAATAGTTTGCTGCATGTTAGGTGGCTCAGTCACAAAATAACATTAATCCAGGTCCGTTATGTTACATACCATAAAATTACAGGAAGCACTACTGCATACAGTAGAAAAGTAAGGCAAGAATAGAAACTACTAAAGGGAAGCAAAGCAAAGAAGCTGAAGGCCCACCTGAAACTCGGCAGGGATGGTGGAGGCTGGCAGCACTAGCAAACATCTGGTGGGTGAAAATGTGAGTAAATTCCGTTAGTGATGAACCACCAGAACGGAGCAGAGGTCCCGCATTACTGATGTACTTACTTTATAGGAACAGCAGGACAATGTAGAAGGTAATCAGGTTTTTTTTGCACCAGGAAAATAAACGCTGTTGAAGGAGGACAGGGAAGGCAGCCCGGTGATGCACAAAGGGCTTTGTGCAGTCACTGTTCCTATTAGGACGGCAATTTAGGGCTCCCTACCAAGCTAGAGGGAGGATTTCAAAGGAGTTGCYTGAAACATAGTGAAGGGCCTGACAACAACGAGCAGTCCTCCAAAAGCAGACCCCAAACTTCCTTGTCCCTAGACTGCGCACGGAGCCCTTCAGCCCTSCAGGGACTGCTCTGACAACCCACGGCCAAGGGCAGAAAGCCGCTCAGCCCATCGGGGCACCGCTGCTCACCGCCACCCCAAGAGCAAAGGCCTGCTTCTATTTTCAGCTTATTTCGTGTCGTCTACCTAAACGGATACAATCTACTAAAGCAGAAACAAAGCAAAATGGTATCACTGCCAGTATAACACGCACGGCCAAATACTTCAATTGTCAGCCTTGCTCTTGAGCTCTGTCTGTTACTTGGAGGCACRCTCAATAGCTCATGCTGTATTTGTATTTTATGCAAGACCAGGCACTGACAGAGAGGGAGTCAGCGTTTCCCAGTACAAGATTGGCTCCAACTTTCAAAAAGCAGCCATCATTACAGGGCACCTTTAATAAAAGCATTTGCAAGCAGACAACAAAAGGCCTTGAACCTAAGAAATCCAATAGTGAAGGTTACATCTACCCAGAACGTTATGGCAGCGCTAGAAGAAAACCCTTCCTTAAGCAAGACTCACTTTACCTACAAGCAGCAAAATAAATCTGCCTGAAGATAAACGGACAACGCTCCAACAATTTGGAGACATGCTGCTCAAAGGCAAGTTTCTGCTGTGCAGCCACAAAGGAAGAACTTTCTTCCYATTTATTAGCACTGCATTTTCCTTTCTCTTGGGCTAATTACGCCCGAGGGGGTGGTCTTGAAAAGTCACTGAACCTACAGCCAAAACAACTATTTTTGCTAAATAAATCCTATGATTTTTTGAACCTTGATTTATTGCACTTGCTCTTTTCCTTTAGCACGGTGTCAAGGGAAAGAAGTTGTTTTACTTTTACAGCCATATAAGCCTGTTTTGTTGTGGTACCTCCAGAAGAAGTGCTGCCTGACATGTGAGAAGACAGAGGGATCCTCGTTCTTCACTGCAGAGCAAGTAYTAAATGATGATGTAAATACCAGAAGGGAGGGCCAGGTCACATCATTAAGAGCCATTTGTAGCTGAAAAGCTACAGGCAGACACTGGAGCCTTTGAAGCTGCACAGTTACATACTTTGAACCCATCCTGTCGATCCAATTTTGGCGCCACAGTGTCACAACGAGTGAGGTGCCTACAGAATGCGAGTTTTATCACTGACTAATGAATTCTCATCCCTGGAGCATCACAAGGAAATCAGATTTCAGTGGGAAACCTGCCTTAGTGCCAACAACTTACAGCAGGGAAGCCTTCCAATATTCCTGTATCCCAAAGCAAAAGCCAGCACCTCTGGAGGACATGGGCCACCCTACCACAGGGTCAGTGAGCACTCTAATCTCTCAGCATGTTCTCCTCCTCAGTGCAGACAGCCCTGCCTCTGGCCACCCATGCCCTCCACCCCGAGAGCCACATTCACCTCCAAACATCCTCRTGGGCAGCAGGAAGATTAAACTTTTGCGTCAAACAGTAGTAAAAATAACCACAAAAAGATATATTGAACCAGCCACCTGACAACCTCACCGTTTCCAGCCTGCACTGGTAGAGCCATGGACATGAAAAGCAGCAGCGTCACTGTGATTTTTCACTAAGCCTTACTTCAGAGATTCTTTTATGCAGACCACAAATGTATTATAGCTGTACTAAAGTCAGCAAACCAAACAAAACAAAAAGACAAACAAAACCAAGAAAAGAAAAAAACCCCAGACATGTCCTCAGCATGAAGGGCTGAGCAGAGCAGAGGCCGCCCCCAGGGCCTCGGGCCAACGAGCAGCCGCGACCCCGGGGAGCGCAGCGGCGGGATGCCCCAGCTGCGGGACTTGCACGAAGCGCGGGCAGAATTCCAGAGCCCGGCTCTGCSGTGAGGTGGCTCTATGGCAGTCAGCAAAAAGGGCCTTTTCGGAAGCATCAGGAGAGAGACTATCGATGTGGCTGCCAAAACTGAGCACTCCCCCATCCTAAGGGAGAAGGGAAATGAGCCTAACTCCCATCAGTCTCTAACCACAGTGACAGCAGCACAGGAGCTCGCACAGCCCTTCTCCTGGCTTTGGCACTCAGGACTGAAGCCTTTGAACGGCAGGGCTTCAGTCTATCTCTTGTCACACTTGCTTACAGATATCTTGGGGTTGAGGAGAGGTTTCTTTTCTTTTTAAGAGCATTATGTTCATTAATTCTGCTCTCTGTAGCTCATGGAGAGCTAATGACCCGTTTTCCTCTACTGGATCATTAACATTAATTTGAATGACTTCTTTCTGAAAGTAAAAGTTTCAGGATGAAATCAGTTTGAAACCAAAACAAAAAGGGAATTAAAATGCAAAGTTGGGGGCAAAGTTGGTCTTCAAATATCCTTTAAGGAACCTCCATTCTGGGAGCTAAACACACATGGTACTATCCTCTGCCCCAGCTGATTTAGCAGAAGCAAACCCTGTGAACCCAGACAAGTGCATGCTTCTTTACTGTACYCTATCTTAGAGTCTTCCTTGTTACAAACCAGACGGAGAGGGTCCCTTCTTTCTTCTGTCCTACTTCCAACCAAAACTACCACAGCAGACAGTCCAGAGGGGTATCTTTCTTTAAGAGAGAAACTCACCTTTCACCCATTCGYCAAAAAGCAACCACCAAGACCTCTGCACAGCTCGGTGCAGAGCCTGGCTGCTGCAGAACCTCACCTTGTTTGGTGAGCGCGTCCCTCAGAGCTGCGGTGATCATCTCTCTCCTCTCCCCCTCCTCCTTCCTTGCAGCGCTCTCCTGAGGCCGGCTCGCTCCGCCACCTCCTTCCCCAAGCTCACGCTCCCTCTGTTGAAAGACAGTGAGTTACAAGCAGTTAGGTTCGAGCATCATGTCCAAAACACTTCACCCGCTTCCGACAGCGCTGCCAAACAGGACCTCCACGTTTGTGCAGCTCTGCATCTTACCCCTCTTCCTACCACGGCCCTGTCTCACAGCACCCTATGATACCTTTTTGCCTCGCCTTTCACAACACTGTCACACAATAGACTTCTCAGCAGTAACGTGATAAAATGTCCTAGAAACCCGTATTAAGCAGCAAGGGTCTGCAACTCTTCTGAAGGCCAAGAGGACACCAAGCTGTAAATCCAAATACTCCATGTCTCCATAGCGAAATCATCTCTGCACAGAGCCCAGCCTGAAGGGAACAAACTTTCTCGCACCCAAAATGCGATCACTTCTTGAGTGGAAAAAGAGCGATTGTTCCAAACACTTGGGCAGACATTTGCTGTTGGGCAAACACCTTCAAGAAGAAAGCCACATCACTCAATTAAAACATGCAAGAAGTGTGCAGATTAGAAAGGATGTTCTTCACAACTCCCCTAAGAGGCCAATCCAAAGTACCATCAGAATTAAAACCCCACCAAATGCCACGCAAGAAAAAGCTGTTCCCTCAACTGACTCTAAACACAYGTAGCCTATAGCAGCCCACATAAGCTGGCCTTCCAGCAGATGCAGCCTTTACAACCACAGTGAAGTGCTTTGGGTTCAAACCACAGCCACATACAGGAGAACCATACATTAGCATAAAGTTTAAAGGAGAAACAAACCCCAGCACATGGAAAATTGTGAATCCTCCACTGCATAAGTGTCACCTCAGAGAGTTTTATGAGCATTTATTGTTTCATGTCTGCACAAAGAAGCATGAAAGTATAAGTAATTACTTTGATTTTTCATGGAACTCATAATCTGTCATTTCTTTATGGCTTTTTTTTTTGCAATATTAGAGAAGTTATGGATAAACAAAGACCAGAGAACATTTTGAGCTCAAAAAAAAACCTGAGCCAATTTCACATCCAAGTCTCTCTTCTGCCAGAGACATCAAGAAGTTCAGATAAACACTTCCAGTTTGAGTCTATCCCACCAACTGTTAGCATCACTAATGAAACCAGTGCTTCTCACTTGCCAAGGTTTGTGTTCTTCACAGAGAAAATAATTAGTCACTCCTGAACACACACACGGATTCCTTTGAACGTGAGCAAGAGATCTGAAAACTATTAAAGGTGACTCAGAAGCAAAAACTGCAGGGACTCACAGAGATTCAAGGAAAACATACAATTCATCATGGCACCTGAGAATGCAAGAGGAAAATAAAGACATTYAAGGACAGGGTCCAACTTTCCTACCTCTTTTGAACAATACTTTATCTGCAGTCTCAGAGACTGTGTGACCGGTAACAATCTGGACCTCACTGAAGAAAGCTGGGCTCCACTTTCCACATCCTTTCACTCACTGTTTGCTCCAAACCAGTTTTTGGATAGAAGCACAAGAGTTCATTGGCTTCTACAACGCAAACTTCTCTGAAAAGCCAGATTTTTGGAGTACTTATGTATGGATATGAGCTCTATGAGATCTAAACATCTATGTATGAGATGCTTAAACAGTAAAATTAATATGTGAGGATTTTAAGTAATATAAATATGGGAAAAAACACTCTTCCAAAGATTAAATATTAAACTTCCTTCTCCTGAAAAACTATGTAACCCAGAAGTAGATACTTTAGGCTACCCAAAGTAAAACACTCCACGTTAAGCAGACACTTCCTGGCCCACAGACTCCGCAGCCTCACACCAGGTTAATCCTCCTGGAAGGACACAACGTGTGCAATGAACACGTCATAACAAAGGAAAGCAGTGACTCACGTAAACACAAATACAAGTTCCCATCTTCAGGTGCGAGAAAAGTCCTTCCRAATTAAAGGTTCTTTGCATTTGCACCCGCATATTGCGTCTGTTGCTGCAGTACGTGAGGAAACAAACCCAAAGGTACAAAAAGCACCAATAAATAAAATCTTATTACTGGCAGGCAGAAGAACATTCATTTCAATAACCATTTTTCCTTACAGAGATGGTATTTTCCTTCCCTCCTCCCCCGCGATGTGAAAGCCTGTCAACAATCTAATCAGTTGTTTTTCTCTGAACCGCGGTACCTGCCTCCTCCTATTTGGCAAGCGATGGGCTTCAGACATTGCTTCTTGGAAATGAAATTCACGGCCCTATGGGTTTTACTTATGTGCTTAATAAACCTTTCATACCTATTATTTAGGATTTCGGGAAAGAGAACACAAAGTTAACTTTGCACAATGCAGACTTCAAGTCCTGGTGATTTAGCAGAGTGCCCGGTAATAAATCCGAGGCAAGTTTCTATCTTTGCCCAGCAAATCAAGCAAGTGGTGACAACAGTCATCTTTTCATGCCCTTGAAGTACTTGGCTGCCAAAAACCTGAAGAGCTGCCCTCTACTCCCTGCTTGTGGATGGAGAGGGCCTGCACACAGGGAAACCTAGGAATTCATCCGAATTTTAGTAGAGCCTCATAGCTCAATTTATTGATGTGCTACAGCTAAAGAAAATGTGTTCCCCGAGTAGATTTTACKCTTAGAAGGAAAAAAATGATACCCTCAGTATCCCAAACAGACAGTTCAGACTGAACATCTCYACCGCTCAACCTCCCAGCAGACAAACATCAGGGAACCCAAGAACTGTCATCATTTACAGCCTCATCCATCCAAGGATTCTGGCGTCTTTTAATGAACGATATGGTGCAAAACACTAACGACACCAGTAATAACGTCAGGACCTGGAGCCAGGAGCAATACAACCAGAACTAAGGGAAAAGGTTGTCAGAAAGTGATTCCTAGCAGGAAAGAGAAGAGAGAAAAAAAAAGAATATTAGTAAAAGTTCCCCAAGARAGCGGCTGTATTAAGTTCACAGCACTTGTCCCACAACCAAACACTTGTACATGGAAACTGAGTAGCAATTTTCTCAATTCATGGACTAAACAACCCATCAATCTCGCAGCGATGTGGAATACCCCCAGTCACTGTCAGTTATCAACGAAAAGCAGCTTGGAGTATTTGCAGGTGAGCACAGGAGCTTAATGGCTTCACAAACTGAGTGAATGGTGAACCAGCAAACCACCTAATGGTAAGAAAAGCTTATTAAAAATAGGTACGTAATCATAGACCACGTATCCACCCCAAACATCACCATCCACTTGAGCAGAGTTTGAACTTAAAGAAAAAAGCTGAACTGAAACAAAGAAGCGGACAAGAAAAAGAGAAGGGAACTCTGCTGTCCTTTACCTGCAAGAGACTGAAAGAGCAGGTGGCTTGATGAAGAGACAGAAAGAAGAACATCTATTTTCAAGGGCTATGGTTAAAAACTGAGAGCACCCTGACAAGTTCCACCTGATGCAAACAAAAGAACTGGCTAGAGACATTTTCTCCTGGAATAAATAGCAGCCTTTGTGAATTTTCAGTAAAGAAGCCTCCACCTACATCTGCCTTTTCACATCCCCGGGTCCCGCAGAGTTTCCTGACGCAGATGTTAGAAGGTGCTGTTCCAACAGATCCACAGGATCAGATTCTGCAGAGGAAAATCCGTGTTCCCTTTTGTTTAGGAAAATTTCTGCTGAGATTTTTGACATGCAGAGCAGTGCTAAGAGCTCACTGTAAACCCCAAATGTGGGCAGACACGTAGTGGCAGCAGCTTATGCTGCTACCCAACCGAATGCAAGAGGTCCTGCACATCCTGGAAGCCCAAAGCATGAAGGATCCCACCAGCAGGGCCCATTTCCTCCGCAGCTCGACAGCAACCACTATCCTTAAGGGCAAGATTCCCACATTGCATTTCTAAAATACTATTAATAATAACAAGACTAGCTGCAGGGCTAGAATAGGCTCAAGGAGAACCCTCGCTGCAGCAGCGGGTCACTGCCCTGCTGCAGGCCGGGTTTGGTAAGGGTGCAGCTAAACCACAACTCCGAGTGCTTCTCACACGTGCTGCTTCCCTGCTCTGTTGCCGTTGGTGCCATGTGGGGGCTTCCTTGGCCACACTTGTAAAGGAGACAGATTGTTTCATAGGAAACAAAAGAATCAAAATCGAAGGTGTTTGTCTGCTTCCACCCACAAATGACTATTCCCAACTGCACCACATTTGCATTTTTATTACTTTCCTCAGTGCTACCCTAATCACAACCAAAACCTAGGAAACACGATTCGACAAGGGTGTCCTGAAATGCCCAGCTTAAGGTGGGTAAAAGCTCCCGCCACAGCCTGYCCTGCTGCTGCACACACTGCCGGCATCGCGCATCCTTCCTACAACAGCCTGTGGACCTTCTCACGTGCTTCTGTGAGYGACTTCTCAGCTCTGCTCCCTCGTTTTCCTTACAGCTTAGGATTCAAGGGGCGTTTCACCTCAACACCAATCTTTCCAAGCAGTCAAAACACCATACACACATTAAAGGGTAAGGGTGGTGAATTTTTATTCTATAATCATTTCGGATGTTAGAAGCAGCCTCCAGCCACTTAAGCAAGCTAATATCACTTACAGGTGCATTTCCTRGTAATAAACACTTGTTATGGGAAGGAAGCCCTTGTAAGCAGTGAATTCTGACTGGACTTCAGAGTATATTTTATATTAGAAGCCCCAAATGCCTTCCAGAGGAGCACAGGGGTGCACTGACACAACTCAAGGTACAAGTGAGAGAACCTGCCAGCTCTTTTACAAAGAGAAGTGATGCAGCTTTCACTTGGTCTTCACAAGTGTCCTAACATAGGCAAGCATTTATCTATGAAATATTAGYGCATTAAGAGCTAAGAGACACCACAACCACTGCATGGGTTCATCTTCAAGAGGGCCATTTGGCTGGAGACTACATTCAAGCTCACCAGCAGCAGATGCTAAGGCCGACTGGAGATCAGCAGGGGAAACTCAGGTGTGCATAGCCCCATACAGAATCCCAGAGCAGYTGAGGTTGGAAGGGACCTCCAGAGACCACCCAGTCCAA